GCTGTATAAAAAATTGTAATGTAAGAGAGGGAGAGATTTATTTCCAATATGGAGGATACGGATAATTTTGTTTGCCTACTTTACATCAAGTTGTGTGAAGGGACTGAAACCTATGGGCAGGGGATATTCACTTGGCTAGCACAGACAGTCCCCAAACTCGTAATAGAACTAAAATAGGAAAAATTGGAATAAAATTATGGCTTAGCCTGGTACACATACTACCGGAGTATTCATTTGGAAAACTTGCTTAAACCACATTTCGAGCTTCAATTTGTACTTTTATCTATTTCTTGAACTGAATAATCTTTGTAAAAAACAAACATTGAAATCAAACATTAAAAACAAAATAAACCGCTGATAAAAATGAAGAAACAAATATTTTCCCCTAAAATAAATATTTGGGGATTTACAAAAATACCTGAACGATTTTGAGAAATTTGATAAGAACATGGAAAATATTTACACACGATCATATGGAAGAGAAAAAAAAATCCCCTGTAAAAGGTTACTTTGGGACGTTAAAAATATTCAAAACAAAATCAGAAATCTTATCACAGTTGACAATATCTAACTTGACCTGGAATAACTGTTGGTTTCCAAGTTATTCATAGTCCGCTGTAACGACAAATATCGGATTTAAAAATCGCTGCAAATGAGAAACAAAACTAGAGAAACAGATTTGAATTTTTATAATTGTTTGGGACGAATCCTATTTTTGAAGTTCTTAAGTCAGGGTTGGGTATTCTGGCGTTCAAACCTAAGAGGTCAATCGGACTTAGAGTCAACAATCTCCCCTCGAAGTAGGAAGGATATGAAGAAAATCTAGTGTCAGCGGGAAGATCTGGATTCGAATTTTAGAATGGACCACACATGGTTTTGCTTATTTACAAAATGAGAGCTTAACAAAATATAATAAAATACAATGAACAGCGTATTGGTAATATGAGGATTAGTGAATCACTGTTAAACAAATTGTAAAGTAAACTCGAATTTCATATAAATTGATAACTATCGATAAAACAAAGTTTACTGTAAAACAAAAGCGTAAAAATCACTTATATTTCATGTAAAACGATTTTTTGAATTTTCAATGCTATCACGAAAAAATCTATTCATTTTAAAAGTTTAATCCTAGCACAAGAATCTGATTGCTGCATTAAGATATATATTGATAATAACATGAATATTCCAAGGAGAATCAATTACCTAATCAATTACCTTCGGTTTAATAGCAAGTTGGATGAAATATCACAGATCTGTGAGTGCTTTCACATAGGCTTGTTTGGCGAAGACTTCTCATATGTGAGAAGTAGTGTGTTAAAGCCTTGCTCTTTAAACTCTTAAATTTATTTCAAGCAGACTTTGAAAATTTAATCGAATACTTTATCACTAAATACAAAATCAAGTATGGACCATAGATATTATTTTTATCAGACTTTTCACACTTTCGCTCCGAACAAGGCTTTGTACCAGCAAACACTGATAAGTGAAGAGCTTCTATTATTATATAGACAGATATCTTTCTGTCTCGGCATTCCCAACATTATTGACACACTGGGTGAGGCGATGGAATTAGAGTTTTTTGCGATTCCAACATAGTGCGTTTCATCTTTGGTCCACACTAGATCGATCTTAATTTCACTAAACCGACCGATAAACTTATTTGGGCAACTTGGACTCAACAATTCTCAAATTCTTTCTTGTATGTTCAATATCGTCATTCTTATCTTTATCACTTGGATAATCTTCAGCATTCGCATATGCTTCCAACGACATTTTAAACAATTCAATCGCTTTCTCTATATTTCCCATTCTACTATACGCTACTCCTGCATTATTAAGACAAAGTCCATATATCTGATATGTTTGAGGTTCTTCAAGTTCTCTTTTCATAAGTATAATCGCAGAATGGTTTATGTTCGCATATTCTTGATATTCATCGCAGTAACTGTAGCAAACACCGATGTTATATAAACACCAAGCCTCCTGCTCTACTCTGACTTTATGAGTCGAAACTTTTATCATTCGCAGTAACTCTAACATTTCACGCATGAGTGGTATCACGTGATCTATGACAATCTTTTTCATTGAATGTTGTTTTGTCATCTTTCCAACGACGAGTTGTATTAGATGAACAGATTGATGAATTCCTATCACCGATTGATCCCCTTTATTATCAAGTCCATGTAGTTTAGCAGCGACGTAGGATGAAACTACAGATTGAATAAACTTTTCTTCTGAATCGAATTCTGTGGCTTTGCTTTTCATCTCATTGATAAACTGACTGTAGTTTGTTATTTCTATCAATCCAATGAAATCAGTCATTTCAGTAATGAGTGATATCACGTGACTTAAGGTTTTTGATTGTTTCTGTTTTATCATTTCTTCCATGACTAAGCTTATTTGTTCTATGCATGACAGAACACCATGAGCTGAGTCATTGCCTTCATTTGTCTCTTTGTGCAGTTTGGCTGCGACGTATAATGTGACTGTGGCTGAAATGAATTTCTTCTCTTCGACAAATTCTTTTGATTTAGTTTCCAGTTCTTCTGCAAATTGACTTTGACTGTGAATAGGCTTCAGAAAGTCAGTTATTTCATGCATGATTGGAATCACGTGATTTCGGGCTATATCTTCTGTTTGACTGTTTGTAAACAATTGTGATGCAACAATGCCAGCTTCACTGAAACAAGTCCATATACCTTTCCTTGATTCGTCTTTTCTATCACTTTGTCGATAAAGCTTAGAAGCTGAATAGAATGCAACTGTAGCGTGGATGTATTTTCCTTTCGAAGAAAAATCTCTTCCGAGTTTAACGACGTCTTTAACTTTTGAAAAAAAAGGCTTCATTAGTTCAGTATCGTTGTCCACGTTGAAAAATCGATGAACCAGTTTGGACTGGAATGGTCCCGCCATCCCTTGTCGTGCAAAATCCTTATGAATGATTTTGTACCATATGAATCCCCAAACCAGTGCGATAAGTGACGAAAGTGACGTTGTCCACCGTAACAGGTTCCACCCTTGTGACGCTTCTGATAAATAAAACAAAGTTTTAAACTGAGCAATATTTTGAATACTTTGATAAAAAATTATAATAAATCAGGACAGACTTGTATGTCAAGGCCCATTAAGTCGTGTTTAAAATAATAACTATATCCGAAGCATTATAAGTCAAAGTACAAAGCATAGCAAGTTTCAAAGAACCTCAAAAATTTTCGACTATGGCCTCTATTTATGATATTTGGGAATTTTACAATTCAATTAAATTCTACAATCTCAATGATATGCGTAGTCTGGTTAGAAAAAACGTCTATGAAATAAGTATTCGATCAGCATGATACATTGTCCAGCAAAATAAAATGAGTGGCTCACCTTCCTTTTCGTAAATTTCCATCATTTTCAGACCAGATTCTTCAAATTTGTTGTCTGCGGTATGAAGGTGTGAACCGGTCCCATTGGTTTGGGAAAAAGTAGCGATTGTTTCCTTCTGGTCGGTTTGAAATTCATTTTCTTGGAAAGTTTTAACCAAAGTCTGTGTCAGGGTGTTTGTCTGTTGTAGAATAGTTGTCTGGGTGTCGTTGTCGAGTGCTTGTTTTGGATCCGTTTGCACATATATTTCGGTACTTGCAATGTCTCGTTCTGAGATATGTGCAGCAATGTTAGGCCCTGTCTGAGTGTCCATATCTAGATTATAGTTGTCTGTTTGTGAATGTCTGTCCCTTGTACGTTGTTTGTCCGTCTGTGCTTCCGTATCGTCAGTTGGCTTCTTATACGTTTGATTCATTCTATCTCTTCTGTGAACGAGACTGGTTTGGGACTCAGATTCTGTCATGGGATTTTCGGTTTGAATCATCCAATCTGAATAAAAACAAAATTGATTATAGTTAGCGCCACAAGCATTGCGCTTAAATGCGTTTAACTAAATGTTAAACTACTGAAGGTACTCCCAAAGTATGTGAACCAAGATTACAGACACCAGAACCTAGTATGTGTACCAGGTTAGGGTGTCCACTATCTTGGTTCACATACCTTGGGAGTACCAAACTGATTTGGCGTTTGAGCTCCTCATGTCAGAAGTTTACATGCTCTAATAAAAAAAATTGAAAAAAAAACTTTGTCCTACATCCCAGCAACTCAAAAAAAAATTTTTCAAATTTCAACTCAAGAAACTTCACATTAACAAGAGCGCCATCTTGCGTCCCATGCTAGCACAAATATTGGTCACAATATTACACGCTAAATCTGCCCGATTACGTGACTGTTATCACAAATATTTGAATACATGGGCTTTATATTGCATCACAGTTAGATATTCTGATGTCTTACCAAGTTGGTGTTACTAAGGCACAAAAAAGAGAAGTATAACTGCCAAATCAGCATGTTTGAGTCAATTCATTTGGATTCCCAGTTGTCCTACAACCGTGAATTAAATTGTCTTAAAGAACTTACCTCTGCAAGATTTCCTTCCTGCTTTTCTCGTAGACGTCGATTTCTTATACGATCTGGATCTCTGATGTGAAACTAAACTGCCAACGCTGCTCAAAGTGCTTTCATTGTCGCTTTCTAGAATAAATATCATGATTATAAAACATAATTGTAACTTTTCCAAAAATACTCGGTAGTTTGGCACGTTTCCATTGATATCAGTCGGAGACCAGAGTTAGGAGTCAATTTTCTAGGTCTTAAGTTTAGAATTCCAATGATGTTAATCAGAGTCAACATTTTCAAAAAAAAATTCAAAAAAAAAATTCAAATGAAAGGCATTTCCAACAGATAATTTAAGGTTGTTAGTGAGATTGCCTATGTCAAAGTTTCCTTTATCAATGTTTGGCTTTTTGTGTCCAAGGATTGAACATTTTACCTTTACTCGATTCAGTAAAATTGAAAGATTCGGCGCTGTATTCATATTCACTTGTTTCATCCAATTGTGATAAATATCTGGCATCTATAATATAAGAAATATCTATGTAACTTTCCAGTCAGTTAAAGCTTCTTTAAACTATCTAGTATCAGCCAGCCATCTATGTTTAAACTCTTCGAACTTGTCCTTGTGAGCAACATTTAATAATTTGGTTAACATTTAATAATAATAATAATGCAAACAAAAATGTGGAACTTGGGTCTAGCATGTTTACATTTATATTGGAGCCAGAGCCAAAGTCGCATTTCAAAACCCAAGGATTCTGAAAAGACCGGACCAAAATAATTTTGAAGTTTTGTTTGCGAACCTTCGATAAAAATTTTTGAGTAGCCCTGCCCTAGAGTGTACTATACACCCGGTTGACGAGCACTGCTCTAGAGATACGAATGAAAATATACTCAGCAAATCAAATTACCAACCTGCACTCCTTGAACGTGCATAATTTGTTGGGGGAAGTCTTCGATCATTTCTTTGATGTGTTTGAACTTTAGCTTGGGATATCGGTCTCAAAGATGGCCGAGGTTGGTGAGACGTTGGATTTCTCGAACCTGGGTTGAAATTGATAAATGATTAGATCGTAATGAAGGTCAAAGCCAAATAAAGAAGTATTTTATATTGAGAAGCAAAAGAAAAAAAAAGTTTTTGTTAATATTTTGAAATATTGATGACATTGGTTCGTAATACTTGCAATATCCTCTAACTTTGACATGAGCAAACTACGGCCCGCAGGCCAAATCCGGCCCGTCGCATAATTCAATCTAGCCCGCCTGATGCTGCCACAATCAAATCAAAACCAAATATAAAATGTTACTTTCACGTCAAGCTCGCATGGCCCGCCAGTCAGAACCCAGGTCCAAAAATCTTGCCCACCCTTGCTCTCACTAATACCTTGTTTTATTTTTTCAACAGCTAGATTCTGCAAAGCAAACAACCCAATTCACAAAGTTGTCACTTGCTGAGCAGTGATCAAGTCTAAATCTAATCTACATAAAAAATATTTGAAAATTGATTTTTGCGATTTTTACCAAAAACATCTCAACTAGAACTAAAATAAGATCAGAATAAAATTATGGCTTAACTCTAACCTGGTACACATACTACGGGAGTACCAGATATTTCTACCTGTTGTTTTTGGTCTTGCTCCAGATGTTTCGTTTGCATTTCGTCTATTTGAAGGCTCAGGTGGAATTAGTGGAAATGCTTCCGGTATTTCTGGATTTGATGCAGTGGGGCTTCCTGAATGTAAATCAGGCATTTGAATTTGAAGCAGAATAAAGTGAAGTGTAATGTTTACATCTCAACTAACTCGGTCTCCCAACTTTCTACGTTCAAGCTATAATTAAAAGGATTTTTGAATTTAATGACGTGAGGCTAATGGAGTCATTTTCATAAGAATCACTATATAATATATCATGATTCAGAAAACGCATAAATTTTAAAATAACTCTATGAGCAACTGACGAGAAAATATTTGTTAGTTGGGTATTCTGAATTCCTTGTTATTGATTCTTCACTGAATACGAAATAAACTCGTTAATCAAATTGATTTTTCTCCATACCTACTTGACCAATCGAACCCAAATTTTCAAAACTTGAGAATGTTTAAAGCACTAGATGGTCATTACCTTCCTTTCAACATTTTTATAAATCCAAGAGGTCAGACACTTCATCGAAAATTTGGCTTTTTCAAGTCATGGGAATATGTTTTATGATTATTTCTCCATACATACTGGGCCACTCGATCCCAAATTTTCAAAACTTGGGGATGTTGAAAGTGCTAGACCTAACACGGGTAAACTACGACCCGTGTTTGGCCCAAAATTTTGGCTTATTGTTTTCCACTTTTGCATTTGTAACACTGTAATATTGTTCATAAAGTGTAACTTTTTACGTCACACATACATGGCCCGCCAGTCCAGGTAGGCAAAATTTTTGGCCCCTAGTCTGAAAACCGCGCCCACCCCTGCACTAGACTGCCATTACTTTTTTTAAGCATTTTATAAACCCAGGAGATTGGGCATTTCATCAAAAATTTCATTAGTTCAATTCCAGTCATGGAAACATGTTTTATCGGATGTAAGATGAATAAAAGGTTTGATTTTAAGACTGATTGGTAATTTTGGGACTCTTCTTATTAGGGGTCATTCTGTCAGGGAACCGACAGGCGACATCAATTTGATATAAGGTTTTATATCATATATCACTATATTTCATACTAGATGACTGCAAATATGACCTGGACCACAAGACAAGTCCCCCGTGTATTCCCTGTATATTCTTACATCGACTTCTGCTACTTACCAACTACTTTAGGTGTTGTTACGTTGGGATTCAATGTCTCTTCGTCAACGAAACTTCTTTCAGCAGGTGAACGTGGAGTAGGAACAGGCTCTGGATCTCGATTGGAACCTGAATATAATAAAAAAAGTAGTAAAATAACAAAAATCACACGATCATCTGCATCATATCCAAATTAACTATCAAAAAGGAATTATATTGTGTATTAATTCGACGACGGGAAATTATGTTAAAATATGATTCCCTTAAAATTCATGTGATGGTCAGAAATCGTTCAAATCAAAAATAATTGACGGAGAAGTCCCAACATTGAGAAAGAACCTTTCAACCATAACAATGCGTATTTGACTTATTTCGAGGCAAAAATGTCTTTCTTTCAACTGCTGGACATGTTTGTAACGTTTTTCAGTTTCACCTGAAAGGTTCTGCGACAGGCTTTGTAGGCCTTTGGGAGGCGGCCTAAAATATATTCTCGGAAATAATATCTTTTTAATCGGAACAATTTCAAAGGTTTTGCAGAGTTTAGAATTTTGCACCACTTGGCGATAAAACCTTTAGGGTATTTACGGTATAACAATGCTATTTTCACCTCCTCTAGTTGGCCTTTTTTTTGATTTTTTCTTTGGCTTAATTGAATCCAATATTTCTGGTTCGTTGGTTGGCACTGTCGCCTCGATATCTTCAAGCTGTTCGTTCCCTGGTGAAGATATCTGCGCTCCCGGTGCGAGCAGTGCGAGAGGTTGATTGCTACCAGGATGAAGCGCTATGACAAAATAGCAGCATTAAAAAAATTGGACGAAACATAATATAAATGAGCTGTCAATTTTATGCTGACTGCCAGCTCCTTCAGCTTCAACTAAAAAAACAGATTTTGATTACGATTACCTAATAATTTTTGGTGGTAAAAACTTGGTGAAATAATTTAGCAGTTTCTGTCGAAAATATTTACTTCTGAGACTTTGATACAAAAATTCAAACATTTAAAATACGAGTCCAAGTTTCGACAATATTAATCAATACAAGTCAAACTCCACGACCTTGATTTTGGTTCATTTATTATTATTATGAGATTCTTCTCGCCTTCAAATGATGCTGATAAGAGGCCACTGATTTAAAATTCATTTAGATGAAACGAAACTTTTGAAAAAATAAATTGAAGTAGCGTTGTCCGAAGCTTTACTTATGGACATGAACGACAATTTTATGATGCCTATTCACCCGTGATGTAATAAATTGGGTATGGAACGCCCAAAAGCTAAGATTCCGGTCTTCATAAAAGAGTCTCCCAAGCCATGAAGCTAAATTATATAGTTGGCCATGACAAAATCAATCTATCAAACTAATTAATTCCCAATTATTGCTTTTTTGGCAAATAATGGGCTGCTTGCCTAAAGGCTTGTTCAATGTATCGGAGTTAAGAAAAACCAACAAACTTGACTAAAGGCTTGTTCAATGTATCGGAGTTAAGAAAAACCAACAAACTTGACTAAAGGCTTGTTAAATGTGTCAGAGTTAAGAAAAACTAACAAACATATTAAATTAAATATTTGGGCGCTCCAGAATATTTGTACCAATTTGGTGAAAACTAATTTTGTTCGCCTACTTCACATCAAGTTGTATAAAGGGACTGAAACCGGTACTCCCTAAGTATGTAAACCAAGATGGCGGACAACGGAACATAGTATGTGTACCAAGTTAAGCATAATTTCAGGTACAAATGAGACGGGAGTCTCTTGGCTAGTCCCCAAACTCATAAGAGAACAAAAATACAGAAAATCGGAATAAAATAATACCCTAACTCTAACCTGGTACGCATACTACGGAAGTACCAGATTTTTCTACCTGTTGTTTTTGGTCTTGCTCCAGATGCCACATCTCGTCTATTTGAAGGTTCAGGTGGAATTAGTGGGAATGCTTCTTGTATTTCGGGATTTGATGCAGTGGGGATTCCTAAATGTAAATCAAGCATTTAAATTTGAAGCAGAATAAAGCGAAGTGTAATGTTTACATCTCAACTAACCCCGCCCCACCCAACTTTCTACGTTTAGGCTATAATTAGAAGGATTTTTGAATGTAATGACGTCACCACTAATGGAGTCATATTCATAAGAATCTTTATATAATATATCATGATTCAGAAAACGCATAAATTGTAAAATAATGCCATTTTACGACCCAAAAATAATTTTTAGTCGAGTATTCTGAATTCCCTGTTTTTGAGGCTTTAGTGAATTCGACCCCTTTATTAAATTTTTCTTTCAATCCCGAATTCTCAGAACTTGAATAGAATCGAATCCGCTAGACCAGGGGTGTGCAACAGGCGGCCCGCGGGCCACAACTCGGCCCGCCAAGACAATAAGTGTGGCCCTTGTCAACACTCAGATATTTTCCCACCAAGCATCAAATTCTAACCTGACAGTTTATGTTTAAAAAAGCGCACACATGAGTTAAAATCCATAATTTCGAGTCTTTCGTCTTTTTGCCTTTATTACTGTAAGACTAAGCTATAGCCTTTTTGTGGTGAGAAATGTTTAATTCATTGTGTACAAGAAAGAAATTGAATTTTTTGAATGGCCCGGCTAGATGTCAGAAGTTGGTTATATGGCCCGCCGACAAAAAATGTTGCACACTCCTGCGCTAGACGGTCATTACTTTTTTCCAACATTTTAATAGATCCCAAGATACCAGACATTTCATCGAAAATTTTGCTTATTTATTTCAAGTCATGGAAATATGTTTTATTGGATGGAAGATGAATGATAGGTTGAATTTTATGAAAAATCGGTACTTTAGGGTCATTTTATTCAGGGCCATGGAATCGACAATAATATGATATAAGCTTTCATATTAGACGATGGTACTCCCGTAGAATGTGAGCCAAGATGGCGAACATCGGTACGTAGCATGTGTACCAGGTTACATACTGGGAGTCACTTGACTAGATCCCGATCCTGCATTGGAACCAAAATAAGGAAGATCGGAATAAAATTGTGGCCTAATCCCTAATCTGGTACACATACTATGTTCCGGTGTCCGCTTTCTTGGTTCACATACTACGAGAGTACCCTAATATATTATGTCAGTTCGCAGAAAATCTTCCATATATTCTTACATCGACCATAACAAGGCGTATTCGCCTTATTTTGAGGAAAAATTGACTTTTTTTCAACTGCTGCACTTGCTTTTAATATTTTTTAGTTTCACCTGGAAGGTTCTGTGAGAGACTTTGTAGGCGTTTGGGAGGCCTACAATATATACTCAGAAATAAACTTTTGGCCACACTATTTGGCGATAAGACGTTCTGGGTATAATAATGCTATTTTTACCAGCTCTATTCGCCTTTTTCTTTGGCTTTATTGAATCTATTACTTCTGGTTCATTGGTTGGCACTGTCGCCTCGATCTCTTCCAGCTGTTCGTTCCCTGGTGAAGATATCTGCGCTTCCAGTGCGAGCAGTGCGAGAGGTTGATTGCTGACTGAACCAGGATGAAGCGCTATGATAAAAAACAGCATTAAAAAATTTAAACGGAACATTATTAAAATGGGCTGTCAATTTAGAGCAGGGCAGTGGAATTAAAAAAATACACCCGCTACAAACTTTTTCAAAAATGACTCTCTGGGTGATAAAAAATACTTCGGCTTCGAAAACCAGATTGTTATTACGATTACTTTGTCCTTTTAATTTTCGGTTTTGAAATCTTAGTGAAATAATTTAGGAGTTTCTGTAAGAAATATTTACTTCTGGATTTTGATACAAAAATTCAAACTTTTGATTTTCTACACCAGGGAGTTCTAAAATACGAATCCAGATTTCGACTTCAAAATTAACGAATACAAGTCAATTTCACCACCCTGATTTAGATTCATGTTTTATTATTATGAGATATTTCTCACCTTAAAATGAGGCTGATAAGAGGCCACTGATAAGAAGAAAGCTTAGATGTGGAAGGATGAGAATCTTTTCATGAGATTACCCGACCAACCTATTCACAGCTTCGATGCTGGCCTAGAATATAGTTTTTCAGCCTATGTTTTACATGACGCTGATTCAAGCCTTGCGCTCTGAGCAGGGTGTGTACAAGCAGTAATTGATATCCAGCGTAAAAACTGCAAATATTTGTTGGCCAGGCAACTTCAAGTTGGTCGTGGCCAATTTATTACATCTTGGCTGAGGTAGGGACTCGGGATTTGAACTTTAATTTGTAATCTGCGATGCTAACATAGTCACGTCTAACGCTTTGAACGAGTGGTTCAACAATCACAAATTTTCGGGATTATAAAAGCTCTTTGTTTGTAGTTTCGTACCTAACATACTTCTAGTGGGCGTGGCATGACAATTTTTTCACGTATCAATCCTAACCCCCACCTGACTACACCATCCAAAAATTACGTCAACACGACGTCACAGTAACGTAATAGAGCCCTTCAAACTATACGAACTGCCATCCAAGACGCGCAAACGAGCACCCGAAGTCGAACAGTTATTTCACTCGTTTTCTCGTCGCAACGATTCCAATAGGAGAGAGATCGATGATGTCAGTCAGTTCTTTATCATCGCGATTGTACGTATAGGCTATTTAGCAAGCTCTATGACGTAGTTGTGATGTCGAAGTGACGTAATTTTTGGATGGCGTAGTCAGATGGGGTTAGGATTGACATATCAAAAAATTGTTATGCTACGCCCACTAGAAGTACGTTAGGTACGAAACTACACGAGACCCAAATATAGCTTTGCTATATTGAACGGTTCTAAGTTGGATGTATCTCAACAAATCTAACACAAACCTCCTCTTTCTCCTTCTTCGTGCCAAGGTAAAGCAGGTCGTTGTTCGGGATCACCTATTGCAGGTACCTGGGAACTACCAGATGCTCCTCCACCAAGCCAGGCTAAGGCTGCTTGTCCCCCTGGACCACCGATTGCAGGAGGTTGTGACCCTGAAACAAAATATAGTGAATTTTAGATAGACAGCAAGAGATTATTAGTTGGGCACAAAAGTCATATACGGGTCTCAAAATAGCACAAATAGATTGGAAGAGTCTCTGGAAGGCTATGACTTGTTAGTTTTCAAATCATTCTGAGTCCTACGGGAACGATATTTTACGGAATATCTATAAAATGGGAAAACCTTTTTATTACTTATTGGAACACTTTACAACAGGGGTTTGCAAAATGCGGCCCGCGAGTTTTGAATGGTATGCGGCCAGCTAAACTAGATTTTAATTTGATCTGGTTCCCTTTGCGTTGCAAAGCTTATATTCGAGTCCAATTATCTATGCCTATGAAGTCACAACGTCCTAACAGCGAAGCGAACAACGCGATTTACAAAGCTGTCACTTGTCGAGCAGCAAACAATTTGAAAGAAAATGCGGAGCAGACGCTAATGAATTTGTAAGAACGGGCAATTGAAGATTAGGCAACTGGAAAGGAGTTTGAAATTTGATAATATGAGATACGAAAGCTAAAGGAGTTTTGGTTCCAGCCTATCAGTTGATTTTGTTTAAATCTAATCTAGAATAAGACTTGACAGCAAAGTATTTGTAAATGAATCTTATCATGCCAAAAACATCTCAACAAAATTCCTTACCAAATTTGAAAAAAGTCATGGCTTCAAAAATGGCACTTTTCGGTTACATATTTCATTCTAAAATGGGCGTCATATCGAATTGTTAGCACTTACATCAAGCAATTTTGAATAAAAGTAGTTGTGAAAAGAATCAAGCAGCAAATTTCTCACTGAATTCGTTTAAATTGGGTGTGACAATATATTTAATTACAGTTTTAGTAAATTTATGCGTTTTAACTCATTATTTCTGCAAAGACCCCTAATGATGACGACATGAGATCAATAACAAAATAACACTATTTTGTGCCTGCAACTAATAGAAAGCCTATGTTAAAGGAAGGTGCGGCCCTCGGTTTTACCCAGTTATTGATATATTTGGCCCGGCTGCAAAAAGGTTGCACACCCCCTACTTTACAGCATCACGCTCAACTACCGAGCTTTTCAGCAAACTTGATGTTTAGATAAGGACTTATCCGCATTGATACGCAATTCTCGTGTCCATATTTAAAGCATTGCTTTCTTGTCAACATCATTCATCTTTATTAATTGCCAGTAGATTTTAAAAAGATGGCTGGTTATAATTGTTCTTTTTTCGTTTTGCATTTTACATTGATTTTTAATCGATCGAAGTTTAAACAAAAAGTTAGTATTAGAAATATCGCCATCGATTTCACAGACTCATGATCAAAAGAGGGCGCCAGTTCACACATTTTAAAACGGGAGTTCTGGATATTTATTTACCTCCTACAGCTCCAATGTTTGCATCTTTAATTTCTGATTTAGACCTGAGAATGTGAAAAATATTAATTTAGATAAAGGTGAAAGCAACTTCGAAATCCCATAAGAAACGTTGTAGTTTATTGTTTTTTATGCTAGAAAGTAGGCATTGTCATATTAAATGTATCAGATGTATTAATTTGGATGAATTAAAAGTCGCTTTATTGACATGAATATCATTTGATACGTATCTCCCACGAAAAGACTTACGGATCTACTTGTTCACTATTTTGAAAGATTGTTAGAACGTGAATAACATTTGGCTGAAAATGGTAATTTTATTTTTAATAGCGGCGGAGGATATGCCAGACTCGACAAGCGACAATGTTTACATTGGTATGCGTCATTAATTTCGAGGCACGAGGAAATGCCGCTCCTTTGTTTGTTTTAATCTCACAGCGCCCGAACAGCCGTTGTACATATCAACGTATAATACAATAGTTTTTGCCTCGTCGGCTGCCATGCTCAGTGAAAGGTTCGCACATTATTTTTACATAAGCGCTAAACTTCGAACTGGTTGACTTTGTGGAATACGATACAATTAAATTAACGCAACACAGCTACAATATTGTGTAAAACATTGGCCTTGCATATTTTAGTCTAAGGTTCGGTTTAAAAAAATATTGGCAATTTATTGCAATTTCTCACTTTATACTAAAATTATATTAGCATGCATAAGCAATTACAGATCTAAAGAAACACAAAAGTATTGAAAAATTGCCCGAGAGGAAAAATCCTTAAAAAAACACTTCAAATTAAAAATAAAATGCAGCTACTCACCCAATAATGTCTCCTTTTATCACTGAGCCATGATAAACCGGGGCCACATGGTAATGCAGTGTTCGGCTGTGATAGTGGTGAAAGTGTTTTATAACGACATTGCCTGCTTGTCCGCCTGGCAGCTGTGGAACGGCCTGCTGTGGAGCAGTCCGCTGAACAAATTCAGGTCCTGTAAAAAAATGAATATTTATATCGAATGTTCATTGAAGTCAGCAAATATCAAACTCGTTATTAATATATATATATTACAACAACAAATTTGCTATTTTCTCACTTTATTTCTAATTCAATAAATTATAAAACAGTGACATTTAATATCTCACAGGACTATATCTATAGTCGGTAAAAAAAAAACAATATCATTTTCACAAGGTTTATTTTTAGTCTAAAAAACAATGGCTGCTTTCAACCGGGACCGGAGAGCTGGTTTAAAATTAGAGTTGCTTCGGCTCCATACCCATCGAGGTTTTCAAGTTTGGCCACTAAAATTGCCGGTAGCTCTCGCTTCATCTAGCATGGTAACCTTGCCTCAAGCTCGACCAATTTGTCACATCTCCGTGACTTCATGCTTCGACTCCAGCATTGGTTCACGAGCCATGGTTTCAATCAACAACACCTCGCTTTGTCAATTTTTGGTTTAATTCCTGATTTGAAACTGTAAATTTTCTTTATGACTTAACATTGAGATTTTATCAACCTCACGGTAAACCTATACCACGACTTATTATAAAATTTAAAACAACACCCCTGGAAACATAAAATGACCAACAATTCCAATAAATAGTTTTCACCGCTCGCTATTGCTTTTTTTCTATTGGTTATTTAACATTTAATTTCTTTCGTTGGCATTTCAGCAGAATTACTTCAAATTAGTTCAAATAGCACGAAAAATAACTGCAGCACTGACTCGTTTATTAACAGAGATATGGACTTCTTGTATATCTGTTATACTTTGAGTAGATTCCAAATTATATTGAATAGCTGAATTATGAGCAATATCAATATTATATTGAAATCATAACAGCTTTACCTATATTATGGCCAATTAGAGTTTAGCAGTATCTAACCACTTTACCTATGAGTGGTTAAAAATAGTCCTTTAAATTTTTACTAAATATAATATGTGTGTTTCATAAGCTAATGACTAGTATTGTTGTATATGTGAAAGTCTCCGTCGGTCTAAGACTCTAGAAAAAATTTTCCTAATCAAACAAAACGTTACAAAAGATTTCTCACCTTCGACTGGTTCTTCAACTTGATATTCCTGTCCTGGTCCTTGCTCTTCATGGATCTCATCCTCAGGACCCAAGTCCTGAATCATAGGTCCATGTTGTTGTTGTTGTTGAGATTCGTTTTCTGAATCGTCGGTATCATTGCTGGAATTGTTATCAGTGATGTCGGACTCGATTATTTGTTGAACAGCTGGATCCGCCTCGTTTGTTTCTGGGTCGGTAAGATCGGATTTGTCTGTTTGTTGATCGATAGACTCCATTGTTGGTTGATCGATCAAACTAGGAACGATTTGCTGTTGTTCTGAGTCGGACATTATTTTAGATTTCTACTGGTTTATATTCCTGTGACAAGTAAAATATTTCTGTATTTAAGTTCAATCAAATCTGTCAATATGTATTTTTCTCTCTTGTATTTAATGCTTCGGCGCCAAAAAAGGCTATCCGGGAGTATTCGTTCCAAGATGACGCACAGCCTGAACTCCAACCTGGGACAGACATCAAGTTCAGGTTGTGCGCCATCTTGTTATACATACTTCGGGAGCGCCCCAAAAGCACCAAATATTGAAATAAATTTGACATATCTAGGGATGTATTTTTGTTATTGCGATGTTTTCTACATATTGTATCATGAAATATCTAATCTAGAGACAATATATTTCGAATGAGAATATTGACAATAAAGTAACAACGCTTTACGTATGCAATGTAATACGATATAATAATATTTTAAGATATTTTCCTATTTGTCAAAATACATTTCTACTGGTTAACCGAGTCAACTGAAACACAAACAAATAAACGTTTTTGTCTACTACAACTCTTCCTTTCAGCTTATATTAGAATCAAGTTTGTTGAAAAACTGTCAACAGTCTCCTAACTAAATAACACTAAATACTCAAGCATTATATTCTCAGCTATCATACGTAACATAACATTTATCTTCAGGCTCAATTTTCGACGCTCCCGTAGTATTCGTACCAAGATGATGCACAACATTCTAACCCTAACCTGGTACACATACTATGTTCAGGTTGTGCGCCATTTTGGTACGAATACTACGGGAGCACCCAATTGTCTGCTAACAATGTGCTCACATTTAAATAAGACAATCCCTATTATATATAAGACGATACGTTGAATTGAATAATAATAAATACTCAAGCATAATACACAAAGCAGTAATATTCGACAAAACGAACTATCTTTGGGCCTTATTGCCTGCTAGCAATGTGCTTACATTCAAATCTTCGTAACTTTTACATTTTTTGTACAGCATACGATTTTTAGGACGATTTCAAAACATGTCTACAATATATTTGAATGTATGCAAAAGAGAACAATCTATTATAAACAATTATTACAGATGTTTTAAATAAATGATAACAGTTTGAGTTAACAGCGAGTTAAAACTTGATTTCAAAAAAATATTAAATGTTATATTGCTCAACATAATTACGTGAGGATCATTGAGCGTTGTTACTTTACATTTTGAATTGGATAAAATTGCCGAATTGAAAGTACTTAAAAATTATCTAAACCATTTTGAAATACATATTGAAATTATAAGAAATATAACTGGGACTGAACATAACCACGATATGTAATTTAGGATTATTTCCTTTCTATTTGCCGTGGTTAATAACAGCAACAAAAACACGATGAATCAAAAAACTAAATCCCAGGTCCGCAAGCCTGCGTTATCAAGCGCTCGCTCGTTCGCTGCGACAGTTTCCTTTTACGTCGTCACATAACTTGGTTATTACTTTCCGAGCAGCAATATCTTTGTTGCTATCGATTGTAGATAGTATAGAACAATTCCAGTCACTTAATTCGCCAATTAAATTGAAGGAAATAAACTCTCAAAATACGAAAAAGCACTAGAACTTCCCTTATATCCACATATTCTATATTAAAGTGAATTCAGTCAAAAAATTGCTGTCTATCTGTTGGACATTGTGTTACAATATGGTAACTTTGTGTATTCGACGTCATTGGCTCATTGTTTACTTAATGTTTACCAATGGGGCGTAATTTCTCTTATCTTGAAATTTAACGATGCTAGAGGTTATTTGTTACGCTTTAACAACTTTATACTAAAATTTGATTCAAAGGAAATATAGCTGAGTTGTTGTATTGAGAAAATTTGTATTTAAACTAATCCACCAAATCAGTAAATTTCAAATGTTTTCAAGACTACGATTACGATAATTGATCTTCGTGTGGTCACGTGATAATACAAAATTTTAAATATCCCGCCATGAAAATCGTACCGTGTTACAATGCGTTGACAAGAAAATAACTGTTTCTCATTTTAGATGGAATTTGAAAAGCGCAGTCAGTTATTGGGGGAACTTTGTAAACCTATTTCAATTGATAGAATGAGGTCGATGCTCGTCGGATAAACTTTAACACAATAACGTTTATAGAAAGTTATTTTTCAGAGAAATTGTTTAACGACTAGTATTTACATAAATTAAAAATGATAACATAATATTTGCTAAAGCATAACGACAATCGCCAAATATATATATGAAAATTTTTTCGAAAAAATATGAAGTCATCGCCGAACGATTCTCTACAATCCCTGTTAAAAATAAGGCGATATATTGAACAGAATTTTAGGAATGATTATTCAATAGAAAATACTTGGTGATTCAGAGCGATACAAAATAATTTTAAATTCCGCCAACTTCGAACAAGCATAGACAACATGGACTGAACGCACATCTATTAATTATGTCATCGACTCAATCTAGATCCCACCAGCGCAGTTTTTTTTTTCGTTTTGCGAGGTATGGCCCACATATAAGCATATCATATCGCGATAAGCAGCTTGGGGAATATGCTAGATAAAGCATGTAAGGGCCATAGATAAAATACTTCAATAGGTGCTTCACGCGCGAAGACCAATTCGTGGCTGCCTCATGTGACTTATGAAAATTATGAGGGGATTAGTGAGTTTAATTGGAGACATTTTGTATTCGAGCTGAATTTCTTCAGATAAGAAACCTTGAAAAATTTGTTTCGGTGTGTACCAACATAAAAAGCAAAAAATCCTAATATGTTCCTACTAAAATAGCGATTTCCGTTATGTCCCTAAACTGGCCACCTCCGCACTAAATTGGCTATTCCCTTCTAAAATGGCTATATCCTAACTAAAAAGGATATGGTCCTACTGAACTGGCTTCAGAGATTTTTGGCTATGTCCCAACTAAAATCAAGATCCCACTGTGCCACTACTAGAATGACTATGGCCCCACTGAAATGGCTTATAAGTTGTGTTCCTACTAAAATGGCTATGTCCTTACTAATATGGCTATGTCTTTACTATGCCACTATGACTAGGTCACTAAAAAAATAAATATGTTCCTACAAAAAGGCTTTGTTCTTACTCATAGTGCTATGTCCCTAGAAAAATAGCGACATCTGCAATGTCCATGTTGAAATGGCTATTTCCCTTCTAAATTCACAATCTCGATATGCTCCCACTAAATGGATATGTCTCTACTGAAATGGCCTTGTCCCTTATAAATTGACATGGCCCATCTATATTCGCACACCCGCTAAATTTATATTAAAGTGGCTATGTCCCATCTAAAATTTCAACCTCAGTATATTCCTACTAAAATGGCTATGTCTGCACTAAAATGGCTATGGCCCTACGAAAATGCCTATGTCCCTAGAATGACTGTGTCCCCATTAAAATGTATATGTCTCTACTGAAATGGCTTTGTCCCTCATAAATTGGCTATGTCCCATCTAAAATTTCAATCTCAGTATGTTCCTACTAAAATGCCTATGTCTGCACTAAAATGGCTATGGCCCTACGAAAATGCCATGCTCCCTAAAATGGCTATGTCCAAACCAAATCGCGATCCAGATATGTTCAAACTAAAATAGCTCCGTCCCGACCAAAATGGCTATGTCCCTACTAATTTGGCTATGTCTCTACTAAAATCAAGATCCCGCTATGTTTTTTCTAAAATGGATATGTCCCTACTAATATGGCTGTGTTCATAATAAATGGACTCTGTCCCTTACAAATCGCGATCAAGCTATGTTCCTATGTCTCAACTAAAATGGCTACGTCCGCACTATAATAGCTATGTCCTTACTAAAATGCCTATATCCCTACCAAAGTGGCTAATGTTCCTATTTAAATGGCTATGGCTTAACTGAAATGAATTTTCCGAGGCTATTTTACCAATATCTATACTGAAATGGCCATGTCCCAACTAAAATGAGTATCTCTCTGCTAAAATGACTTTGTCGGTACTAAATTAGCAATATCTCTTCTAAAATGGCTATGTCCCTTCTAAAATCGCGATCCCGGTGTGTTGATACTGAAATGGCTATGACACTACTGGAAGGGCTATGTCCCTACTAAAATAACAATGTCCGTTATGTCCCTATTGAAATATCTAAGTCCTTACTAGAATGGCTATGCCCCTACTAAAATATCTATGTCCCTACTAAAATAGCGACATCTGCTATGTCGATACCAAAATGGCTATGACCCTTCTAAAATCCCAATCCCTAAATGTTTCTGCTAATATAGCTACGTGCCTACTAAAATAGCGATGTCCTCTAAAAAAGACCATGTCTTCACCAAATTGGGTATGTCCCTCCTGAAATTACAATCTCATTATGATCTCACTATAATGGCGATGTCCGTTATGTCAAAAAAGGCTATGTCCCTACTAAATTAGTTATGTACCTACCATGATCGCGATCCTGCTATGTTCCTACTAAAATGACTATGTTCCAACTAAAACGGCTGTGTCCCTATTAAAATAACTATGTTCCAACTAAAATGGCTATGTCCCTACTAAAATGGCCATATCCCTATTGAAATAACTATGTTCCTAACAAAACAGAGATGCCCCTACTAAAATGACTATGTATCTAATAAAATGGCTATGTCCCTACTAAAATGACTACCGGTATATGCAGGGATTTCATCCTTATTTCTAGGGATTGTCCTTATTTTTGGCTTAATTCTGGCTTACATTCTATTTTTGGCTTGCATGTCTTTATTTTGTCCTATTTGGACTTCGTAAAGGAAGCTTTGTGTTGTTTGTCTTATCGCCAAAACTTTATTGTGGCATCATAAAAGCACCAAGGCACATTTAGGCATAATGCATTGTTAGTGTGGCGATCATTAAGTTTTATCGTGGTGGTGGTTATTTTAGCCTAAATTTAAAAATGAGTAAACGTAAGAACGTTTTTCGTGATGAGTACAAAAAAGAATTCAAAGTTAAACGAAGCTTAGAGGGTAAGTGCACCGCACACGGTGACGTCTGTAATTGCGA